CATAACAGTAAATTTATAGGTGTCAAATTTTATAATAAATATTGTTTTTTCTTTGTCTTTAAAATCTAATTTAACCTTTAAAATTCACTTGCAAGATTCAGTAAAGAGAATTAAGAGGATCCTGATAATATTTCTAATATATTATCTATTCTTAATAAAAGATAACAATCTTTTTTATTACACTATTTATTTTCTGATAATCTATATTTAATCTTTTCTTTTTATTCTTCTTTTTTTATTATAACTACTAGAGAAATTTATTGACTATTGAATGGTTTGATTAATTTATTTTCTAATATCATTGTATTTCTTCTTTTATAAATTTTTGATTTTAATAAAAGATCTGATAAAATTTTTGTTTAATTGATATTGTAATAGGATTAGATTGACGAATGTAATGCAGTATATTGCAGATATAAATATCAGATATATTAGATATATTTGATTTATTTGTTATATCCATCTATGTATTAATTCAATATAAATAAAGAGCAATAGAATCATGTAAACAGTAGTTCACTTATAATTTACTTTTAGTTTTCTTTTAGTTTTGCTTTTAGATACACATCTAGTAGTCCTTGTAGAGGTGCCTGGCCTAATATCTCACTTAGTATTTTGATATTTTGGATTTCTTTTATTCTTTCTTATTTTATATATATTATTATTATCTTTTATTTTATTGTCAATAAACATATTATTATACCTCTGAATCAATTGAGTTGCCTTACTCCTAGTCTTGTCGTAAATACACTACTGTGTAGATTATAAATCTTGAGAATAACCAAACTGAGTTGCTACATAAATTTAAAAGAATCATCACTCAAACACCCTGTCTAACTATCACAATTTGCAAAGATTGTACGTTAATAATATAATAGTACCTGTATTAATTGCATACATTATAACAAACGATCTTTTAAATTCATTTAATTTTTAAGAAAATAAGTCTTTATAGTTTTATATGAAATCATCAAAATCATTCTTTTGATTTTCATTTAAATCTCTAATGTGAAGCTTTTCTTTTTCTACTTTCTTATATTGGTAATAGGATTTCTTAAAAAAAAAATCTTTGTTATTTGACTAGAAGTTTTTTTCAATTTATTTGATTTCTTTATTATTTATAATTAATTAAAACAATATACTTATTCCTATAAGTTAGCTTTCTCTTCATATTTTTCATCTTCATCTTCATCATCATTATCATCAATAATATACAATAAACCCTCTATAAGTACATGCTCTTAAAACTGATTATTTTCATGTACTTAAGAAGTATATGTATTTATAGAATAGCTAATAAAATAGCATATAATATTACACAATTATCGTAATCTTAAATTTTTTGTTGATTTTATTAAAATTTGAATATTTTTCTCTGATATATTTCAAATTAAATATTATATAGCATAATTATAAGCTAAGGATTACTAAAATATGTATTAATATTTATTTGTCACATTGTATTTGTTTTTTTAATTTTAAAAAACTTTTCAATTTTTCTTACTAACTTTAAATATTCTTTTACATTATTCTGTTGAAGTAAAAATATATGTATATTATTCAAAATGGCAATAATAATGTTAGTACTAATAATAGAACTTTTATAACTATCATCTTTCTCTTTTAAATCTATATTTTTCTTATCAGTATTTTAAAAAGATAAGCAAGTTCTTCAATAACTTAATTATTTTCAGGAACTTTAAAAATAATATCCTCTTCAGAAATATTAAAGAATTCTTTTAACTGCATTGATAAGAAAGATTAAGAACTTAAATATTATCTGCAAGATCATTAAACACTAAATCTTTGAATCAATGGATATTTTCTAATGTATTTCTCACATCTGTTTCTTCATTGATATAAAAGAGAAGAATTTTTATATGTATTAGCAATTATAAACTGTTTTAACTTTAATCTCATCTCATGCTTTAATGATAAAATGAACTACTTATAAGATATCTATAAATATGTCTTCTACATGTTTACCTGCTTTTACATATTGTAACATTAAACTTTAAAAAAAATTAATAATTAATTTTAATTACATAAAAGGTATGCAAATTTTATATTAAAACTTACTATATATAGAAATAACGTTAATTTCTTTTAAAAATCATGATTATTTTAGCATTTATTAATTAGATTTTTAAGATTATGTTTAGTAGTAAAAAATGAATATTTGTGTATTATAAAGTAAAGCTATCTATTTTATAACTGGAACAGTTATCAATAAGAGTAATATATGTTAAACTCGATACTTTAGACTAATTTAATGATCAAATTCTCGAGTTCACTCTTAAAATAGTGATATAATCATCTAAGTTTTAGTATTATTTTGGTATATTATAAGCATATTTTAAATTTTTATTTTCTTAAAATAACGTGATCTTTCATATTTACTAATTATTAAAGGTTTTAATTTATGAAAGCTATTAGCATTTACATATCGCATAATTAAAAAACATTCTTTAATTACTTTATATCTAGTAAAATATTTGATTACAAGTATTCAATCTGGTTCTAATCTATAATTATGCAAGATAAGTATATTTTTCGTTTTACTTTTTTTATTCTTTAATTTATATTATTAAAATTTTATCTGTAAAATAGTTCATCTATATTGTAGATTCTTTTAAGAGGTAATTAGAATAACTTTTTCTCAATAAAGATAAAGCATTTGCAATTGCAATTTTATTAGCAAATAAAGCTTCTCCTTTAAGCTTTTGTTAATAAATTCTATTATGACTTTTAAATTTTTGAAGCTATCTTTAAAAAAATTAAAATGAATCCTAAGGAATCTCTAATCTATTAGTAATCAATTTAGTTTTTTTAATAAGTATTACATCATTTAAAATCATTTAATGTTAATAGTTTAAAACAAATTCTTTAAGTGCAAGTTCAAGGTCTAGATAGGAAACAGGTTTATATTATTTGATATTTGGATTAATAACTTCTAAACTAAGTCATTTTTCTAATATTTATAAAATATGAATTATCATACTTTCATCAACTCTAAGACTCCACTATTTTTTAATCTAATTAATATATTGAGCTCAAGTTTTTTTATTATTATCATAAGCATAAATACAAAGGTTTCACTTTTGAAATTCAGTAAGAGTAGTTCTTTTAAGAACTATTTTTAAGAAATGTATTATTAATTTTATGTTATTTAAATAATATTGAAATATTTATTTTAATAGAAAATGTGTAAAAATTTGTTAAATTATATAAATTTTTCATTTTTTTTTTAATTTAGATATATGATAGAAATTTAATTTATTTTTATAATAGTTTTTAATAGTTTGTTTACATTTTATTTCCTTATAAGTATATTCATATGATTATTTTTAAATTTTTTATAATTAATACTAATTTAATTTGATTTAATTATAGGAAAGTATATATTTATTTATATGCTTGTAATAATTTGGATTAATTTGTAATTGATTAGAAAATATTCAATAAAAAATTATTTTATTATAATATTATTTTCAAATTAAATTATTAAAATAAATTTTCTTCAAGTTTAGTTAATCATATCTAGACTAGCTTTCATGAGGAATTGGAGAAAAATCCAAAATATATATGGAGTAATTTAAATTAAATAATATATTTTACTTTAATATTATTGAATAGTTAATTTTGATTAGTTATTAATTACATGAATGTATTTATAGAGAGTGCTTTAATATATTTGGAATTCAGAATTACTTATACGTATAGAATATAGAGAGTGTATATTTAGCTTTAAGTTCTAAGCTTAAGACCAAATCATAATATATATATAGAGAGGATATACACTTATAGAGAGTGTATTTATAGAGAGTTTACTGTATTTCATTTCAATTTCATTAGCTTTTTTATTATTAGATTTATTGATAGAATATTTGATGATATTCTACTAGCACAATAACATTCTGTTTATTTTCATATAATATTAAGAGTCTTTTTTTGTAATTAATTATAGTTTGAATTTTTTTTTTCTAATCATTTCTAACAATAGCAGCATAAGAATCAGATTTGATTATAATGGTATCAAAAGGAATCACATGATCCAGTGATCTTTAAAAGAATTTCAGTTACTGCCTCTAATATTTTTTTCTTTATTAATATTAACTTTTATAGCTTTAGATGCTTGTTTAATCTCCATATTTAAATCTTTAAATAATTTTAAGGAAATTATACATTTAGTAGAGCCAGAATTAATAATAAGCAAAATTTTTATTTTTTTATATATACGTTATAATATAGGGCTGTAATTTTTTGATTTCTTCATTATTTAATAAGTTAGATTCTATAGGTTCATCTTTTTCTTTACAATAATGAACTCTTTTACTTTCTTAGCTACTGGTTTTTAAATGCTTTCATTACTATCTAATTGAATTTCAGGTTTATTACTATTGTTCATTAGTTGATCAAAGAATTGTTATAGTATATAAAGATTGACTATGCTGTTAATAGATGGTGCTTGTGATGATTTTTGTTTGATTTTTGTTTTAGCAGCCAGGTGTTTATTTTTTTTCTGGCTAGTCAATTATTAAACTACTTTTCCATTATCTTTGCTTTTTTCTTTATTACTATCTCTCTTATTTTGTTTATAAGGTGTTTCTAAAACAATCTTGAAGTGCATTCTAATTATAAGATAAGCTACAAATAAAGATAGATTTGAGGAAATTATCATTAGTTCTATACTATCACCCTATGGTAATACATCTTCTAGTTTAAATGCTACTCTTATGTATTGTTAAATACCAGCTGTGATAATAGCTGTAACAATTGCAGATTTTAGAGGTTATTACTTGTAATCATAGCAATATTACTAGCTAATATTATATTTTTACTAGAAGAATTCTGAGCATATACTTGTAGAATTTATAGAGCTTGATTGAATGGTAGTAACTGATTATTATTAAAGCTATTAGGATAATTTCTTTTAATATGTTTTGGCTATTTGTATAAATAATAAATTAGATTATTTCATTAAGACATTATGATTAAAAATGAATTCAGCTGATAGTTTGTTGATTATTGAATGTTATCATTTTGGTAAGTTTTTTTTCTAACATTTATTTGCTGAATCTATTATAATAAGTTGAGTATAGCTTCATTAAAGGAGTTTGTTAGAGTGGCTAGTGTGGCAGCTTTATATTTATTCATAAATGTCACTACTACATTCTGATCTTGGTAGATAAGTTTATAAGCCTTCACTCTATTAAGCATAATATCCTAGGTTTAATCATTATGAGGTTTCACCATTAAATGCAATTCAAGTAAGATACCATTAACTAATTTTCTTGTTTTCATTGCAATTAGATAAACAAAAGCTAGAGTTTCAATCCTTCAGTATAGTTTCTAAAGAGTATATACATAAATGTTGACAGATTTATTAGGCTATTAATATCTTTGTTCCATTTTTATGGTCTAAATCTCCACCAATATTTGAATTTAAAATACTGTAGGAAAGTTAATAACAAAATTAGTGTTATTTCTATTTTCTGTTTAGGCAACAATTCAATTTGCATATCCTACTGCTTGTGCTCGATTTGCTATCCACTATATCAATATTAATCCTTTCAAGTAGGCCAGAACACTTCTAATTTGGTAATTCTGAAAATAATTCTTACATAAATGTAAAAAAAATATTTTTATTTAAGAATTTTTTGAAAATTTAGATAAAAGATTTAATGATAAAGTATTTTCAGTATATCTGAAAAATTTTTTAGAGCAGTATATCAAAGTTTAACATTTCTGAATTGAGAGATAAAGAGATTTTAGTTTAGGTATTACAAAAATTAGTTATAAAAATTCTTATATTAGAGGCGAAAAATACAATTAATTTTTTTTGTAATATTTTTGATTTGATATGTATTCAATATTTTGTTAAAATAATAAAGTATTTTATAAACTTTTTTATTATAAATATTATATATATATTAGAAAAGATTTTTTTTGCATTATTGAAGTATTTTGAGTATACACTAACATTAAAACATGAATAGGATCATTAAAATTTTCCATAAATTTTTAATGCCTTTTTATTTATATTTTTATAACTGAAAATAATCTCTCAATCAGATTTAAATCTAGAGAATAAGGTAGTAGGAATTTAATTTTTCCATCTAATTCTTAAACAATATCAATAAAATCGCTATTATGATAAATTAACATTATCTATTATAAGAGGACTATTTTAACCAGAAAATGGATACATTTAAGGAATCTGATAGAACTTATTAAAAATTTATTAAGAATTTACATTTAAAAATATTTTAAGATAATTTATGGATCATATCACTTTTAGATAAAATAAAATCTTTAAATTTTTCTTTATTATAAAAACCTTTTATAATTTCTACAGTAATATATCCATCAAGTGATAATACAGGTAATATTATATACTTTTTTTTCACGTAAAAAGATATTATGCCAATGCCACCACCGCCAATGCCAGAGCTAATGCCAATGCCAATGCCAAAAAAAGCCGATGTCATCAATTAATTGGTTAAAGATTTTTAGGCCGGTTCCAATCTCTACTGACGAAATAATGATTATTTACTTTCCTAGACTTTATAATTTATTTATTCCATGATTCAATTAACTTTCTACTTCGATCAGATTTAATTTTTGTCTAATTTGCGCTTTAATACTTTATGAAGTTCAATATAAAATAAAATTTTGTTGGACATCATAAGCATGACTGCTCTTTATTTAATTTTTTGTTCTTATTTTTTTTTTTTTAACGATGTGGCACTGCCAGTCACTTTATTAATTTATTAAATCAAAACTGCTCTTTAATTTTTATTTTTTTTTTTTTGGATTGTTTCTAGTGATCGGTCGCCCGAATATCTATGACTGCGGCTCGTATGTCCGATATGTCACCGCCGAAACACTAGCCATCGCGATAAGCTATACAAAGCGAGCGCCTCATGGCTAACCCCCAATGCTATCATAGTACGATGGATTCTGGCCAATTACTGGAAAGAGGAGTCTTTACCAACCTAATTCGGAATAGCCGCCCGACACAGTTGATACGCCCAGACTGTCAAAATCACCTCGAGAATTAAGCTCGGGCCTCTCAAACCCTAATTGTACCATAGACGCCACGGCGTTTCAAATAGAAACCACACGACTCTTGTTCAATCCAAGTTACACAGCGTCTACCATAGATCCGTCATGACCTTTTAACAGGGATGACTCCCTTGCAGACGATGCGGCACTTGCCCATTACAGGCCCAAAACTGCTCTTTAATTAATTTTGGGAACAAAATACACAAATTAAGTCGTGTAACAAACAAAATTATGCAGGTTAGTATACAAAAATTGTTTCATAAACAAAAAAAAAATAAAAATAAAAACAAAAAAAAAAGTTTTCCATTCAATTACGAAAATTAACATGGCTTATTATAATTATATTTCATTTAATTTATTTCTTATTCTAATTATCTATCCCTTTTAGGAGTTGAATCATTTACTCCTCTAGGTCGTGCAGGCCATTCCTCTATTCTTTTCGAAAATAAAATTTATTTTTTTGGGGGAAATGTTGGAAATGAAAAAGATATCTAAACAAATGACGTATTTTTTCTTGATGTATCCCAACAGTTTAATGTGGATTTTCCGACATGGTCAGACCTTCCAACAAATTAAAAAATAAGATTTAAAAGTGCTAATGCAGCTATTACATTAAATAATAATAATAATCGTATTTACTTAATTGGAGGAGTAATGCAAAATCAAAATAATGTAGATTCCTTTACCTCACTGGTACATATATTCAGTCCAAAATCAGGACAATGGGAAGTACCAATTATTACGGGGAAATAACCAGCGAGACGAAGATTCGTACAAGGCGTTACTGATGATTTGGAAAATATTAATGTTTTTGGTGGATCAGCCGATCGCTTCGTAGGAAAAGAAATCGTTCAATATTTTAATAATATGATAATATTTAATACTAATGGTTTAACGTGGTCTGATACACTCATTGGCAATGCTCCTTCAAGCCGAGCCATCTATACTGCAACATTATTACCAAACGGTGAAATTATATATATTGGAGGTGTTGAACTAGTTGATAATTCTTTGAAAGCAGTAGATATTAATCAAATTCATATTTATTATAAAACAAAATACTTGGTCAGTAATGGTAATTATGCATTTGTAGTTACTATTATTCTTGTTAAATTAATTAAAAGTAATTAAATTTAAAAATTTTATTAATCAAGCAATAAATAATGGTCAAATTGAAATCGAATCCCGCCTTTATCATTCAGCAATATTAAGTATTAATTAATTTTAAATTTTTATTTTATTTTTTTTTATTTTAAAGTATTTTATTAAAATATTATATTAATTTCAGTTCCTGATGGAAGAATAATTATCTATGGTGGGGTAAAACCCACCAGAGATTTGTTAAAAGTTGCACCAGATTGGCTGTTTTAAATACTCAAACAACTCCATTTGAATGTACTGCACACAAGTATCTTCAAATAATGGTAAAGTTCCATCACTTGCAGCGCATACAGCAAATTTTGTTGAAAATTATATGATTATAACCTTTGGTAACAATACTTCACTTTAATTGCTATTTAAATCGCAAAGATTCTTATATTAACAAGTAAACGGATTTCTTGTATTATAGGAACTATTCTTCAACCAAATTTTTTTCCGATCTTTTTGAATACAAAAATTTATTTATTAGATGTTAGAAATTATGCTTGGGTTGATAGTTTTGAATTTGAAAATAAAACCACACCTTCAAATACGACCTCAACAATTCCTGCTTCGGCACCTACGACTTCTGTGATAATTCGTGATAATGATAGTACAATGAAAATTGTAATTGGCACAATAAGTGGAATTATATGTACCGGAATATTTATAGCAATTGGAATTTTTGGTTATAAATGGTACCAGAAAAGAAATCAAGATTAAAATATTATGATATGAGAATTTCTGGTAATAATATTTAACACAATAATTTAATTTAATTTTTCTTTAGATATCATTACAAAATTATATAAAAAATCGAATGAAATTTATTTGTTATTCGGGCCCATTAAACTATTTGAATTAGGTTATTCTTATAACGTAACCTCACGATTAAGTAGCAAGCATGAATATGAAGCATAATCAAATCCAAGATAATAAACGAGGCATTTTCGTTTAAATGAATAAAATAAACTGCTTTATATTTTCGGAATTTCAAAAGTACTAAATTTTAGATTTTGGTGCTTAAAATTGAAGATTTAAAAATATTTTCCACCTGCATATTTTAATTAGTTCTCTAATAAATTATCCCTAAAAAATTTACATACAGCACATTTAATAATATTTCCAAAACATTTCACCCCGCATGTATCTATGAATATGTAAATCGCAGTATAAAACAGTATCATTCTTTAATAAAGAGAAGAAAAAAAATAAAAATTAAATATTATAATTTTGGACGAGAAGAATTATTAAATAATATTTTGATTCAAAAGGGAGTTCAGTTTATTGAACTATAATTTAAGTAAATATCATCAATCCAACATACATTCAAAAACTTTATATGTCACGTTAGGCTTTGTAAAATTGACGTGGGACGTGATTGTGCGCGTACGAATAATAAACACAATTTAATGCAATGGACTATTGTTTTTAATTAAATAATAATCTTTTTAATTTGATATTAGTTAAATTCATTAACAAATAAACAAACACCGTATTTTACACTCTAAATTCTCTCGTTATCGTTAATCCAAATATGCCACGCGAAAATAATTGGATTTATAAAATAAGTCTTTAAGTTTTATTTTGTATTTAAGCGTCATAATTTCTAAAAATCTAGAAAAAGAATGTCTTCGGTTTCCAAAATTTATTTTTCGCGGCAAGAATATAGAAAAAAAGAATGATTCGAGCTACAGAATACTATTACCTTAAGTAATTAATGTTTGTTTCTTCAAGGGGGTAATTCTCAACTTCGCAAAATATATTTTCTTGATACATTTTTTTCTTACATTTTTATCTAGTTTATTAGTGACCTCTTCTTAATTAATTTAACACTTTAGTTGGTTTGTTGATAGTAGAATTTAGAAAGTTCGACTTTTAAGTTTGCACGATAATTAACTACATACGCAAATAAGCTATTGATGCTACATATTTTAAAAAATATTCTTCAAACAAGCTCAACATGATCAC